CATGAACAGTTATAGAATATAGATAAAAAAAATATATATATATATAAGACCATATAGGGTTCACAAATATTTAAGCATGCAAAAAAGAAGAGAGTAGTGCACCCAAGTTAAATTTGAAAGCGGAGTCGAAAAGAAAGGGCGGGTGGGGCGACTAATGATGAATGTGGAGATAATTGGTTTATTGATGTTGGAATAAGTTTTTTCCTTTTCAAAAAATGGTCCCAAACCTCCCACCCACATACTCACCACTCTTGAGCAGGCTCACAAGACACCAAAGCCTAGTAAAGCGATCAACTAACCTTTCATTGGGCCTTCGTGCAACCGAGGACCACAACAGCACGCCGAACAGGCCGAATAAAACTGACCCGGAAAGATAAGGTAATACAAAAATACTTTTTGAGTTTTTGTATACACTTTTTTTGTATGCACACTTTTACACATGTTTGTGTAAGCTTTTTTTGTCTGTACAAACAAAATAAATTTTTACGAACCTATACGAGGTTGGGACAACTAATAGATGAGAATGTAATAAAAATATAACTAAATATAATTTGAGTTTGCACCCCATTTTATTATCCAAATTAGACTTTGCACCCTGTTTTTGAAATCATTATTATTTGCACCCCAACCTCGTATGAAAAGACAAAAATGCCCCTCGATCAGGATTATGTTGAAGGCCAACAAAATTGTTAATTGAGGGGCATTTTAGTCTTTTCATACGGGGTTGGGGTGCAAATACTAAAGATTTCAAAAACGGGGTGCAAAGTCTAATTTCGACAATAAAATGAGGTGCAAACTCAAAATACCCCTAGATCTTAATAGTCTTGTTTGATTATTATTAGATTCTTTCGAGATTAATTATTTTTCAGATTAAGTATTTTTAGATTCAAACTCATTTAGGTTGTCTTTTTTCTCGTCTTGTAGATATGCGAAACTTTAAAGTGGCGTTTGAGTCTAGAGTCGTCTAGGTGATGCCATTTTTTGCCTTTTAAAACATTTTTTTATATTAAAATACCAATGACACATTTAATATAATGATTACCTGCATTTACCCGCGATTATACTCGATACCATTGGGGTGGTTATTGTTTGAGTAAAAATTACCCGTTGGATAATGGGGCGGTTATGAGGCGGGAGAATTACCAAACGGGACATGTACCCGTCCTCGATCCGCTCCGTTGACATCCCTAGATTTTATAGTATGAAAATGTGCAAGTTATCCAAGAACGCATAACGCGTGTGCTGCTTGAAATGCGCCAAAAAACGTGTCAGAAACAACTCATATACATCCATATATTAACTCATTTCCCATTTTAAGGTTCTTTCCAACTATACTGTTGTATATCTGTCTTATTTTACTAGTACTTTCCCCCGTTTCATAAAAATTTCAACATTGCAATTTCTGCACTATTCACATACCTTACTTTGATTACGATTTTCTAATAATATACTTTCTCCGTTCCATATTTCAAACGTCTCATATTACATTACATTCATATAGAAGTTGATTATAGACACAATACCACAAATCATGATACTCAATCACACGTTTCTAATACTCAATGAAAATGTCGTGATGTTCAACTAACAAACCTTACGATTTTCATATCCATGCGCATTTTGTAAGTTACGTATGCTCATCTGGTACTCATCTTATGCTCATTTCTAAATGTCATATCAATGCATTTTTTAAAGTACTATTTTACATTAGATTCACATATTGAAATTCATAGGAGTTGATTATAAATATAATTTAATAAGTTTTTATAATAGAAAAAATAACAAAAAGAAAGTGAATTAGAAGTTATGAAGCAGAGTTCATGATTTTGAATATTAGACTCCTAATACTCAACATAATAGGTCGGATGCTCATTAAAAGTTCATTAATACTCATTCACCAGAAACCATGAATTTCAACTCAATAGCGGAGATTTGATGCTCAATTAAAATGCCGTGATATCAACTAAAAACCTTACGATTTTCATATCAATGTGCACTTTGTAAGTTATGTATGCTCATTTGGTACTGATGTTATGCTCATTTTTAAAATGTCATATCTATGCATATTTCAAAAGTATCATATATTACATTAGACTCGCATATTGAAATTAATAGCGGTGGATTATAGATATAATTTAATAAGTCTTTATAAAAGAAAAAATAATAAAAAAAAGAATTATAAGATGTGAAGAAAAGATCGTGATACTCATTGTTAGCCTCCTAATACTCAATACAATAGGTCAGATGTTTACTAAAAGTACACTATTGCTCATTTAACGGAACCGTGATTTTTCGCTTAAATTACAAAAATGACACCGAAAAAAATTGGCATGTATTAATTATTGGGTTGTCTTTCTTCCTTACCTCGATGTATGATATAGGCATTGTTCGATTATTATACAATTTTGTGTAGATTTTTAAACTAGCACAATTTGAAAATAATAATCCCAACTATTATTGCTGGTCCGCTACTCATAATCCTAACTATCGATTATTCCTAGGTGGTCTCAACTATAGGGACCATTTTCCAAAAATAGTCCCTAACTTGCTACAACCTGGTATAGCATGTCAAATTTAAATGCGAACTATGCGTAAGCTATAAATAATTCCAACTACAGTCAATCTTCTTTTATTAATCCCAATCATCAACTTTCAATTTTAAAAAATATAAGAATGTTTTTATAAATTACCAAATTAAATATTTTTATGGAAAAATTGATTGTAATAATCCCAACTATTGGCGGTCCGCTTATAATAATCCCAACTATCGATTATTTCAGAATAATCTCAACTTTAGGGACCGTTCGCCAATAATGGTCCATGACCACATAATACCTCCTCTAACAAGTGAATTTTTAATAGAAATTAAGCGTAAAAATTAACATTTGGGATTATTTATAGAGATTACTTGCTATATCTCTTTAGAAACTATAAGAATTTATTTATAGCCGGTCACGTCGGACCATTATTGGCGGATGGTCTAAAGTTGGGATTATTCTGGAATAATCAATAGTTGGGATTATTATGAGTGGACCGCAAATAGTTGGGATTATTACAATCAATATTTACTATTTTTAAACATGTAAAAATAATTATAAAAACTTCTACAAATGTATCAAAGTTAAATAAAAATATTTTTAGTCATTTTTTTTATTTTCACTAAAATTTTTTTTTTTTTCTTTTTTCCATTTTATTTTTCCTAGTTTTGTTAACAAGTTATGATTTTGTATTATTTTCCTTTATTCAATTTTACATTTTGTAATAGGGACTATTTTTGGAAAATGGTCCCTAACTCCCTATAGTTGGGACCACCCAGGAATAATCGATAGTTGGGATTATTAATAGAAGATCGATAATAGTTGGGGTTATTATTTTTTGAAATTGCTATAAATAAGAGCAAAAACGATTTGAAAGTCCAAAATAGGAATATAATGTTTTTTATTCCCTGAATAGGAGTAATCTGTCAAGTTTGAAAAAAATGCAATATTTTAAAACCTAGTAATGTCAAACTTGACATAAATTTACTTATATTCAAGGAATAAAAAACATGATAGTCCTATTTGGAATTTTAAAACCTTTTTACTCCTATTCAGGGAATTCTCTCTATTATTTTCAATTTTTGCTTTAAACTAAGGTAATGTAATATTGCACGCATTAGAGACGTGTAAATGTGTAATGAATTAGCTGTACAGTACTCTGTTTTCGTGTCGTCTTTGGTGTAGTCATTACTCTGTAATTAATTAATGGCAAAATTTTGAAAATTATTTCAATTCCGCATGTGAGCAATTGAGTGTATATATATAACTAATATAAGTGTTTAAATTTATGAATTTTCTTCAATTTGTATTAAATTTTGTTTAATTCGTCCCTCAATGGACATTAACTCTTCCCCACCACGAATGCCAACGTGTTGTGTTTGGCACAGATTAAAGAGCAAAAATGGTGACAGGAGGAAAAGGAACCACAACCATGATTCGGTATTAGTGGGTTACTATGGCGATTGGGGAATGGTTGCCGCCGCCGCCGAACAGCAACATGCCGCCGTGAAGGAGACAGGGAAAGCTGCTGGCCGGCATGAATTGGTTAACTAAATACGTTATAGTTTCAATTCCTAAGTTCTATTACGTATTATAGAACCCGTTTGGTAGCACGAAAATCGGCTGTTTTGACTAATAACAATATGATTATTATCCAATTACGGAGTATTATATAGTAATAAATTAATAATAGTTATTATTATACCGAGTATTAAGATGTTCTAGTGTTACTTGTATGGTATCTTGGGCTTTGATGCCTATTGACTATTGGTTATGGATTGATTGATTTATTGTAATATACTTTAATTTCTCCATCCAATGTAGATTTGTAATTTGCAATTTTAAAGTCAAATGATGTCAAAGTTGATTACTTTGTTTAGTTGGTATAGCTACATTGACACTTCCCTTCTTGAAATTTATTTTACTTGATAGGTTTATTAGATATAATCTCCAGTCAATTAAAGATATTGATACAAATTTAGATGTATTGAATAAATTCAATCATAAAGTTGTTCTTGATTCTTATATCGATGTCAAATATGTTGTTAAATATGATAGAGATAATATGACTCTTGTCACATTGTTGTGAATGACTTGATAAGATTCAAGGAATTTTTCCCAATAAATGCTAGAGTTGTGGTAATCAATCCAAAAATTATACTCGGTTTATGTTTGTGAGAAGAAGATCTAAAGTTAGATCAATAGATCATAAACATATAGCCATAGTATAACATGGAATTCGGAATTCCAATAATGAGAAACGTGTTTGTTACTATTGTAATAGTCTTGACACTATATTAGATCAAAATAACTTACATGGAGTAGTTTTTAGATTCAGAGGACTTTATTTAACTATTTAAGTAGAATGAACTATTTGAGAACATTGTACTTCCTTCATCTCATTAGACTTAATCAACTTATTTATTTATTTATTTATCACAAAAATTAAGTGTTACTTTAATGTTTATTTAAAGTAAATAATTTGTGATTTTACTTATTAATGGAGAATAACCAAAAACAAGAATGCGCATGAGATTCATGACATGTGAGATTATCCAAAAACAAATAGGCCCTAAAGGCTAAAGGGATTACAAAAGTATATCAATGTAAAAATGCATGTTCATCAATTAAAAAATGAGACCCTTAATCATTTACCATTAATTCTTCAATCTGATGGCTAAAAATAGTCGGCCATTCTCCTTGTCTGCTTAACCAAAGATCTGACCCCGGTGAGCTCCTCTTGAGAAGATTCTAACAGTGGCAAATCACCGTCCCCGGCCACCGCCGGAAGTAATAATGTGGATGTATCCTCCTTTTGATCTTCCGCCTCTTCTATATAATAACAACCGGAAGACCCGAAATCTGAAAACGCATTGCTCGCGCCGCCCACAAAAGCAGCCGCCACCGCCGGGATGCTTTTGAACTCGTCCACCTGCAAATAAATAGAAGGCGGCAGTGGCGGCAATTCTCCGCCGCCCATGTACGGCATCGCCGCCATTGCGGCTCTGCGGTCCATGTAGTACTGAGCGGTCGCCGGTGGCTGTTCGTACAAATAGTTTATTTGCGGCGGCAGCTGCCTGTATCCAATCGCCGCCGCATGCTGCAGATTTTCATCAATATAACATAACCCGCCACCGCCGTAATGCATGTGTGGCTGTTCGGATTATCAAGAATCATGTTTGGGTTGCGGCGGTTGTCATAATCGGGATTAGTATTACTATTAGTAGTTGCTATGAAGTCATTATCATCACGAAAATGACATTTTAATTGTTCTGGATTAAGTTCGTTCTCGTAAGTATAATTATTAGGTGACAACTCCGGTGCCTTTCTAAAAATGGGGTATCGTATCTACCATTCATTTGATTGGACCACACCAATTTATCGTTTTTAATTTAGATTTAAATAATTCAACTGCTACATGCTGCAGATTTTCATCAATATAACGATAAATTGGTGTGGTCCATTCAAATGAATGGTAGGTACGATACCTCATTTTTAGAAAGGCACCGGAGTTGTCACCTAATAATTATACTTACGAGAACGAACTTAATCCCCGTGATAGGTTGGTTGATCTTAAGCCCCGAAATGTGTGCCTTATAAACTTGGGTACCAAAAGATATCAAATTTGGTATTTAATAGATCGAAGTACTTGGTATATTTAATACGAGTAGTAAGGTACGTACATACGGCAGATATTTCCTAATTATATATCCCGAAAAGGTTCACTATATTGATTTTTTTTGTCAATGATGAGAAACTTTGGACAATGATTTTAAGTATTATATATACATATAATTGATAAACTTTATACTTTTATGAAAATATATTGAATTAGGAACATTTTGATGTAATTTTCATATTCAAAATAATTTTGTATTAAAAAATATCATTAATCAAATTGATTGTCATTGACCAAGAAAAATCAATTTGGCGAACCTTTTCGAGACGGGGGAGTACATATTATCCTATACTACTTCTTATTATGTAGGACCGGTCAATATATATTTTGCCAGCCCAGCATGTAGGCTAACCAAGCATTCCAGCCCAACTGGTGGTTGTGAGGTTACCGTGCCCAGTGGGATAAGTATTTCCAGATGGTGTTTTTGTTTTTAAAATCATTCGTTCGGAATTGGCTGTTCCAAATGGAGTTTTTGTTTTTGTTAATTAAACAAATCCATTCGGATTTCCTTTCCAAAAAAAAATCCATTCGGATTCCAAGACTCAAAATCATGCATTTATTATTATTTTTGTTTAACGATCCGTATCATGAAATGAATTAAAATTGGGAAACTTCCCGAAATAGGACTAAAACAGTATGAAAATTCCTAAATAGGATTCTCATATTTTTTATTCCCAAAATAGGACTAATTACTGCCATATTTAGAAAATACTGTCATGTTTGAAGTCTGATACTGCCAAAACATGGCAGTAATTAGTCCTATTTTGGGAATAAAAACATGTCAGTCCTATTTTAGAATTTTCAAACTGTTTTAGTCCTATTTCGGGTAATATCTCATTAAAAATATAGGTACTTTTGAAATAAATTTATTAAATGAAATTCAATTTTAATTTATTTAGAAAACGCAAGTGCTTTATTATTTTTTAAAGGAAGGGAACAAAATAAATGTACTTTTGAATTTAAATTAGAGAATATAATTTTTATTGAATTGGCATGGTCTGATCTGGTAAATGTCTGGTCTCTATGTATTTTAAAACTATCCAAATCTGGTCTGGTCAGAATTGGTCTGGTCTGATCTGGGACTGAAAGCGGTCCAAGTAAAATCATGCTAGTTATACATACATTGAAAAAGATTTTTAATAATACCAACTATTTGTATATAGAACAAAAAGAATATGATGTCACTTTTTGATAAGAAATGCAGTCATTTAAGATTCAAAAAGTAATATCAAAGCACCAAGTAAATGATACTCCCTCTGTTCCTATTAAAACTTCCAATTTTCCTTTTTCGTCCGTTCCAATTAAAACTTCCACTTTCCATTTTTAGTAAAGAATTGGTGGTTCACAACATTTCTTACACATTTCTCTCTTCTCTGCACAACTCTCCACCACACAATACTCATTATCCTAAATTGTGTGCCAAACTTATTTGGAAGATAAAATAGGAACGAAGGAAGTATTTAGAAATATGGCCACTTATTTAATATTTCGATGTTAGTTTTTGATGAGTCATATAACTGATTTTTAGTGAAAAATTGCTCTATATCAGTTTTGTTATATATTCAAATAGTTAGCATTATTAAAAGTTATTTCCAAAGTACGTATTCAGAACAGAAATATTCATATTAGACCAGAACAATTCAGATCAAATCAGAAATATTAGCTGAATTGGTTTGAATCCGCTCAAATTTATGAAGTGTCCTGCTGAAATTCAAGGGCGGTGAGGGAGAATTGAACGAGCGACTCATGAATGATGTCAGGTCCGACGAGCCCATAACTAGAAGAATGCGCTCTTAGTAATAATACTACCCTATGCAGAAGACGATTGCTGCTCCCCTTGCTTAGCTCGTGGAAAACTAGCTCTTGTAAGAGCGACCTTTCAATTTCACAAAATGCACAATTCAGTTTGACATATTACGATCTAACGGTTCAGATTTATTCTCATTTCTCTCCTGAGGTTCTAATAAGAAGAAGCGTTTAGGTGAGAAATGAAAATGGATCTCAGTCGTTAAATTCGATTATATTGCAGTAAAAAAAAATCATGTTGCACTGTTGTAAGACCCAGGATTTCATCCTAAAAAGTCAACCTGATAGGAGGAGTAACCAATGTCTTAATATAGCACTTTGTTGATTCAAACTTTTCTGGTGTCGGGCTTTTAACACCCTTTCTCACGACTAGACACTTCATCTCGATCATGCCGTCATTCATTTTTTCATCAGTTCGTCATTATCATTTTTCTGTAATCGTCATTTTTCATAGGGGGGCCCACACCATGGACCGATTTGGCCCTGATACCATGTTAAGACTCGAGATTCCATCCTAAAAGGTCAACCTGATAGGAGGAGTAACCAATATTGGTACGGTGTTTTTTTAAGCAATAACGATTTAAACGCTTTACACGTTTTTGTTTTATTTTAATTATTAACTTCTTGGAGGCGCTTATATAACGTACAAGCGCTGCACGCGACCCTGCTATTCTATTTTATTAAACTGACTATATTAAATTGAGGCATTCATTTTTTGGAAGCGTCGCACGTCTTTCTAAAATAACATTTAAATAATTTAGTTAATGTTAGGAGGCGCTTCATTGTAAAAGCGTCTCGAATGAAGCGCCTACTTTTGACATTTTTCCACTAGTGAATGTCTTAATATAACACTTTGTTGATTCAAACATTTCCGGTGTGGGACTTTTAATTTTTAACACACTGAAATATACAATCTAGCACAGTGACATTTTCATAATACTTCCGAAAAATGCCTATTACATTGAGTTTTTTCCATTTTTGGTTCCCTCGACTATTGTGCTAATTACACTTTTGGTACTCATCTTTTAATTTTTTGATTTTTGGTCCTCGATTATTGTGCTAGAGACACTTTTAATCCTTGACTTCAAAGTTTTCCATATTTAGTCCTCCGAGTATTATCAAATTGACACATTTAGTATTTCCACTATGATATTGACACAATTAGTGAAGGACCAAAAATGTCACTTCTATGAAAGTCGAAAGACTAAATATGAAAATTTTCAAGGATATGTACCAAAAGTGTATCTAACACAATAGTCGAGGACTAAAAGTGGGGAAAAACAAAGTTTGATACCAAAAGTGTCAATGACATTATAGTCTGAGGACCAAAAGTGGCAAAAACGCGTATTACATTTGTCTAGTGCAACATGAAGCTGTTTTGTGCATCATCATCAATTTTATGCAATTTCAAACAATTTTAGTGCAATGTTGCAAAACTTAAATCTTAATGCAACATGAAATTAGTTTTAGTTCAACATTATAAATCTAACATCTATGTTTCATTCTCATTTCTCACGTTAGATACATTTTTCACTGCTGGGAGGCTGCGGCGGCGATCAGGTGGTGGTGTTGTGAGGCGTAGGGGTTGGTAGGCTGAGGCAGCTGCGAGGTGTGGCACAGGAACCATGACTCTGGGCGTCCAAAGTATGGATAGGAGAAGAGAGAAAGATGAGATAAACGAATTGAAGGTAGATATGTTGCGGTTGTACAACGCCCGCAGTAATTTAAAGTCAAAATGATGTTCTTTTGTTGCATATGCAACCTAACCGCATCATATATCGAAAAAATGGGGCTTTATTGTTGCAGCCAACTATCAACTGTACTGTAGCAAACATATGCAATTTTGTTGTGCATGCATCAGAACCGCAACAAATACATAGCAGCAAATATGAAATATTCAAGTCGTGTAATCAAATAATACAATGACGCGTATGAAGTTTAATTGGTGAGAGAATAACCACAATTGACTGATCGATACTGTTGATAATAGATTTTATCCTTTTTGTACTCGAATGCGTATGGAAGCCACATGTGTACCCTGGACAGCTCTCACACGAGTGGCGTTATCCTAATTGTTTGGGGAATCCAAGTGCTGAACTCACTAAGTGGTTTTTAAAGTGATTTTGGAGAAAATGCTTAATAGTAAAAATTGATAGTGTTTGAAAAAAATGATTTTGAAAAAAGATAAAGTTGGTAGTGTGTGGTAAAATAAGTGTTTTTGGTGTAAGAGAAAAATTAAAGCGAAAAGTAATAGAAAGCACACCTCAAAGGTTATATGTGCAGAAATTGTAAAGGTTAACGTAAGCAAATTGTCACTTGAGAAAACTCATTTAAACTTTTTAAAGTGAGAAGCTAAAAATCATTTTTTTAATTTTTTGCTAACACTCTCTTAGTATGCATTGATCAAGCATCTCACATACATTCGTGATCGTATTTTACTTACCATATAAAATAAATAGCATAATTTAAAAAATATCTGAAGGCTGATTTAATGCGGGAATAGACGGGAATAATTGGAGAAAATCCAATTGCCCAGCCAATTCTTTTATAATATGTAAAGATAATTTAAAAAAAAACTGAAGGCTGATTTAATGTGGGAACATGCGAGAATAATTGGAGAAAAATCCAATTGCCCAGCCAATTCTTTTATATTATGTAAAGATAATTTAAAAAAAAACTGAAGGCTGATTTAATGCGGG